AGGTCTTACTTGTTTTGATGTTTCAGGTTGTAAGAAGAAGAAAATGTACTAGTGCTAGAATATGGCAACCATTACAATTATTGCTATCATGTCAAAAAGGTTTGTTGCAAATTTTGAATTGTATAGACATTAGACACAAAGCTGTCATGAATGTGAGACACATTTACAGCCAAGGAATAGAAAAGCACTTGAATCTGGAAAGTTGATCCATAGCCAGTTGGTTCTTGAAAATGTTGCTTCTGTCCAACTACATTTCTTTGATTGTGGCAAGCACTTTGTGATTTCAATAATGTATCCAAGGGTCAACTGCCAAGAACCCACCTTGATAAAAAAAATGAAAATCTTCTTTAATACTGCCAAGAAGTTTACCTATGCCACCACATCCATTATAAACCAATATTTAAGGATTTTCCCAAAATGTGCTAAATATGTAATTAATTAAGATTGTTTTTCTGTAGAGAATGGTATTCATATTGAACAGGGATTATTTATAAGTCGTGTATATCCTGGTGGTGTTATTGGTAAAGATTGTATGTTACCTAGTACTGGTGATAGAATTGTACATGTAAGTTCTTTTACCTCAACACATGCTTTGATTCACCTCTTTTATGCCCATGGTACATATTAGTGCTGGGTATGGTCAATCATGTCACAATACGATATGTATCGTGATACAAGTGTCACGATATATGGTAATGGGATAAAAATTAATATTTTGTCTTCAAAGTTTCTATATATATATTAATTTATAACTTTATAACTATGATATTTGGTAATATAGTTGATAGAAGTGGTTAACGTCCACTGTCTTATTAAAAGTTTCTATATATATTAATTTATAACTTTATAACTATGATATTTGATAATATAGTTGATAGAAGTGGTTACGTTCACTGTCTTATTAAAAGTTTCTATATATATTAATTTATAACTATATAACTGTGATATTTGATAATATAGTTGATAGAAGTGGTTAGTGTCCACTGTCTTATTAAAAGTTTCTATATATATTAATTTATAACTTTATGACTGTGATATTTGATAATATAGTTGATAGAAGTGGTTAGTGTCCACTGTCTTATTAAAAGTTTCTATATATATTAATTTATAACTTTATAACTATGATATTTGATAATATAGTTGATAGAAGTGGTTAGTGTCCACTGTCTTATTAAAAGTTTCTATATATATTAATTTATAACTATATAACTGTGATATTTGATAATATAGTTGATAGAAGTGGTTAGTGTCCACTGTCTTACAATTTCAGTGAAAAAAAATGTTATATCACAAACCAACTTATGAAAATCACCACTTTTTTATGTAATGAAAGGTATTGTCAAGTATTGATACACGACATGCCATGATAAATTGATGCACTGATATAACTTGCAAGCAACTAGTACAAATGCACAAATATTGCATTCATATTTACTTTGAATTGACAACCTTTATTTGCTCACATATCTTATCTTAAGGCTGGCGCACACTTACCCATTTTTTGACACTGATATTATTGGATGTCTAGATTTAAAGATGTGGCGTATTTGATGTATTTCAGATAAATTCAATATCTGCTGAAAGTTTAACAGCAAGAGAAGCCATGAAGATTCTTGATAAATCAACAGAACCTGTTCAATTGGATGTGTGGAGACAAGCTTCACCAGTTAGTTCTGCTGGCTCATCACCAACACCAAACAGCCAATCAGTTATGTCCTCCTTGACAGAGCATCCAATCAGTGGATCTAAAATGAGTAAATCAGATACTCTGCCTTTACAGACTTCACAATGGGATACGTCGCTAGACAGCAGTCGTAGTGCAGGCAGTAATAAGAATATTCGTACCAGCGGTTCACAGACAGACAGTCTGGATAGTAAGAGTCCAGGTCCAACCAGACGTCATAAAGATAGGAATCCTGATCACGAACGCTCTCGACACAGTGTACATGTTATTGGTAAAGCTTTTGAAAAAATTTTCAGACCCAAACATGGACAGGAAAGAACAAGTGACAGTGAGGAAAAGATTATGAAGAAAGGTTTATCAAAGAGCAGAAATGAAAATGTAATAGCTGAATTTGGTCCAGTGTATGAAAAAGATGAACAGAAAGAAGCTAAGCGGAAGAGAAGTCGAGAAGCAGAACAAGAAAGCAATAGTGGTACCTGGCCTAAAACTAGGGGGCAGCACATGATGAATGTTTCTGGTGCTGCCACTGTGATAATGCCGTTTGGACAAAAACGCACAAAGGAACGACCTTCCATAAGAAACATTCAGTTTGATCCTATTCCAAACCATCATCTTAATTCTAGTTTACCGTCTGCAAAAGAAGTGTCATTCTCAGACTTACAAAACACATCCATGAGTTCTGAACAAAGTGTGTCTAAGTATATTAACATGCCATTGGATTTCTTAACTGAAGCTCCGCCCCCTTACATGGGGTCTCACCAGTCTCCGCCTACTGTCCAAAACACTAAAGACAAGACAATGCCATATGGTGGTGTGAGTGACAGAATCTATTCTAAATCTCAACAATCTGGTATGTATGGAGATAGCTTTTCATCATATACTGATAGAGCAGTGAGAAGACGACCAGGCTCTGCACCTAACAAACATCACCAGAACAATCGACATTCTGCCATACCTAGTCATCATATGAATGCTCCTCACTTGAGGGATATTCGACCTGTCTCAGCAGAAGTGACATCACCTCTAAGAATCGGTGACATTCCAAGTGATCGACATAGTGCTTCAACTAATTTTGTTGAGAATTCTCCTATTCCTTCATCTAATCGTATGATAATCAGACCTACATCATTTCATCCAACAAGGTAAGAACTTCTACCATTTGTTTGTGCAATACATGTAGCTAAGGGTTTGAGATCAATCTTTGAAAGCTCTGGCTGGCTTTTTTTACTTCAATGAGTTGCAACAATTTGGCCAATAAGACTGAATATTCGTCGCTAGACTTACCTGGTGTCATAACTATACAACATAATCCCTGTATAATCCATGATTTGAGAATTTCAATTTTATGTTTATTCTAAGAGGTAATATAATGGAAAAGTCCAATTTTAGAAAATTTTGTATTTTCAAGATGGCTGCCAAACAGAAAATTTGCATACACAGCTGCAGAGTTCAACACTTTTCTTGTTATTTCAGTAGTACACCAACTCATAATGGCCATGTCTGGTCACCACCATCTAATAGTTATTATAGACCATCTAGTCATCACCACCATCATCATACACCAACTTGTATCTCACCTAGATTTGAATTTGATTTAACTCCTGCCTTTGACAGATTATCTACTCCTAGTCCATCTCAACATGTAAGTAGACCTGAACATCTAGGCGCCGCTTGATTGGTGACTTCTGCACATTCGAGATTCGTCGAATCAAGTAGGAACAGAATGTAAAACGCATTTCTCATGTGCTGAAAAAAATGAAGTATGCGCAGACAGAATTCAAAATGGCAGAGAAAGGCATAGAAATTTTTAATGTGACCTTATCTGGTTCTGTCCGTTTAGATGAGGCAAGAATTGGAACGGACGGAACCTGTTCAGAATACGTCAATCGAGCGCCACCCTAGGATGTTTTGTATGCAGTACTTTCAGTAGGGACATAGACTAAAGTTGATCAGATGTCTGAAGATCACACAGCATGAAGCTGAGTTGAAAGATGTTTCAATTCTGTTTTAATATTTCCAATCTGCAAATACAGCAAAATACCACTTTATTCAATGTACATACTAACTTTATGCTGTACATATTTCTAAGATATTTACTATATAATCTAATAAAAACAAATTTTTGGCAAATATTTTCCAATAGTATTTGTATTTCAAGGTAAAAATATTATTTCTGGATTTTCCTATTACAGAGTAGTATAACATTTGATCGTACAAACACACCAACTCCTAGTGAAGATTACCAATATAAAACACATTCTATGTTACCTTTTGGTGCTCGACCCCTATCTGAGATAGAATACTCTTCAAGTCATCCAACATTCCCTAAACGTGGACCATTAGCACTGGAGAGAATTCGAATTCCATCTAATACCAGTGTAGCTACTAAATCAGGTTCTGTTGAAATTGGTAAGAAATGTTTTGTTAATATGTCATAAGCTAACACATTGATGATGCTTGTTTCAAATATGGACATGAATTTGGTGTTTTTAAAAAAAATTAGTGTTAAGAAATTTTCCAATACAGAACAGCATGAAGCAAAATTTGTTCACATGTGTAGAAAAAGAATTCCTTAAAGGGACAGGTGCACCATTTTCTTGACAATTAACTTTAGTCAGAAATGGTAAATTGTAATAGTATTCACAGCTCACTGTCGAAATTTGAGCCTTCAAATCCATGTGTGTCCAGAATTATCTGCATTGTTTTAAGATATTCTCTGATATATAAAAAAGACATATATAGAAATAGTGAGTAAAATTCCTAGTTTGAAGTATTTTTAAGGGAATTATGCGATTTTCGTACATTTCTAGTACTTCTGAAGACTATTTACATATATTCAAGACTAAATGGCGCATCTGTCCCTTTAATAAGAGATCAGTCTCAATTTCCCAATGGTCATTTTGACTATGTTAAGGGGTACAATTAAAATCAGGTTTTTGGTGCTCTAAGGCCTGATCTGAATAATAAATTTTTGCATTAAATGTAATCAAATGGGTTTTTTTTATTATTACAGTATCTGATAGAAGTAGTGCCAGTTCACCATTGTTTGGTTTCCGTCAAGAAGGATCATCAATATTGAAATATCCTAATTCACAGGAAGATTTCCATACACATAGAAAGTAAGTTTTAGCCTAAGAAAGTAAGTTTTAACTAGGGAAGGAAATTTTTAACCTAAGAAAGCAAGTTTTAACTAGGGAAGGAAATTTTTAACCTAAGAAAGTAAGGTCTTCTTTTAACTCATTCTGATCAAGTCAAAATTTGAACGTTGAAAGTTAACAATTTCATATGACTTTTGATATATAGCAAATTATATTTCAGACCTCATTTACGAGAAATAAGAACAATACATATTGAGAAGACAGCTGAACCTGTAGGATTTCAGATACAACCTGGACCAGAAGGTGGTATATTTGTATCATCAGTTAGTGAGAATAGTCTAGCTTCTGATGCTGGTATAGTAGTTGGTGATCAACTGTTGGAGGTATGTTTAAACATGTACATTTCTATCAGCAGGTTATTTTTCTTGATGAACACTTTAAAGACATTGTAAAGAGGTTATAATGTGTTAGTTTTAGTGGAATTGCAAGAACCACAGACATCAGAATGAAAATAAAACAATACACATAAAAAATTAGAAAACCTCTTTACAATCCCTTTAAGAATGACTTTTATAGAATCACATATTCTGCAATTATATGTTTGATTTTAATGATCTCAAATTTTTTGTTTTTCCACTTTAATTTGCTTAAAAATCTGCAAGGTCCACACTATTTTCCAGTTTTAAGTTTTTCACCATCCAAAATAACGAGTTCACATATGCATCAACTGCATTGAGTCACATGATTAGTTGTTTTGGAAGATTGCCAACAATATTGTAATATATGGTAGTATGGTACAAGGAGTTTTGTCAATAACTAATGGACTTGAATTTTGTGATATTCCCCAATATTTCTTCTTACGAAGAAAATTGAAAGTTTAAACTTTGTTAAAATGAGTCTTTGTTGACTTACCAGGTGTCAAAACTATACAAAAGAATGCCTTAAATGTACATATCAGTGTATTTTAAAGTTATTGATATGATTTATTGTATGATATTTATCTGTAGGTATGTGGTATTAATATGAGAAATGCTACGTATGATCATGCTGTAACAGTATTAAGACAATGTGGTAATAATTTAACAATGAAAGTGGACTTTAATCCTGACAGTGAGTAACCTAATTCTTTACATTTGTTCTCTGGTGTTGCTCCATGCTACATTCTGTGACCTTTGAACTTTTGGCTGTGCACGCCGTTTTTAATGACTGATGCTAGATCAGTTTTGAAAAAACTTTGATGGAAGGGGACATGTGACATAAATGGTGTAGGGGAAAAATGATGGTATGACTGAACTACAAAAATATTCATCTTTCCAAATATATCTGGGTTTTGCAGTTTCAAGGTAGCTAAATGGGTTTAAAAAAACCCACCTGGAGAGATATGGAAAGTCCCCATTTAACAGGGCCTATTTTTTCTGTCTCTACACCAGCCAACATCTGTCCAAATAGTTATCATAGGCTGGAATAGAGGCAGATGTTTCAGTCTATTGCTACACCTATACCTTCTGTTTTGATCTTAATGCAAATTTGTGAACAAATAAAGTAATTCTTTTTGCATTAGATGTACTTGCTTCATATCTGTGACCACTTTACCCCTGACTGAATTTGTATTAATTTTGAAAAAATGTATATTTATAGAGTATCGTGACCATCCAGAATCTTCAAGTAATGGTTCCTTGTCATCAGTACCTAATTCTTCTGGTTTTTCTTCACCATTATCTGATAGTGAACTAAGTCCATCAACACGAACTAGTCATAGAAAAAATAAGACCAGGTAAGTAGTAATGTACTATTTTCTTGAAATCACTCAGTATTTAGTCGTCAAGTGCATAAAATGGCAGTAGTAGAAATTTTCGTAATAATTTTATAAATAAGGGTTTTTTTTGACCAATCATACTTTAGTCTCAGAAATGGGAATTTTTTCGTTGAGCCAATCAGTAATAATGTTCACAGCTCAAAGCCAAAATTTTAACCTTCAAATCCATGTGTGTACAGAATCATCTGCGTTTGAATGTTAAACAGACCAGTCATCTTTCCTTGAGACACTGCCATATATAGAAAAGCCATCAAAAGAAATAGGAAAAGAAATTCCTAGTTTGAGATATTTTTGAAGGAATTATGTATTTTTCGTACATTTCTAGTACTTCTGAAGACTATTTACATATATTCAAGACTCAAATAAACCCCCTAAAATGGCGCATCTGTCCTTTTGAATAGCGTAATTAATGTTTTCACATTTCAATTAATGCCTTCAACCTGTGACTACGTTGGCAGGTGGCTTCAAGATAAAAACTTGATTTAAATGATATTGTTTTAGTTTTGGTAGTGTTGATAGTGCCTATGAAAGATTAAGAAGAGTATGTGTAGAGAGAACTACTGGAGAGTCACCAGGATTTACTATAGTTGGTGGTAATGCTACTGGTATATTTGTACATGATATACAAAATGATTCCATACCAGACCCCCCACAAGGTTTACAACAGGGTGATCATATACTAGAGGTATTGTTTCTTGATATAACATTGTTGTTATTTTTCCATACTGCTATTGATAATACCTTAAGGATGGGTTCCCTTATTTTCATTAATGAAAATGCTAATACTTATATGAATAGAAAGTAGAAGTGTTCTAATGACTTGGTAAAATACCAGTTTGTCTCACATGTCCATAATTAATTCATGATTAGCTAAATTACCAGCAGAATTCCAATGAGTGACTGATCAAGAAAGGTCAAAAAGTAATTTTGTTGTTTATCCAGACTGTATATATGGACATTTATGATTGGTTAAAACTCTTAATTATATGCAATAAGAACATAATGACACGATTAGGAATACATGATAATTCATTAGAAACACCAATTAATCAAATAGTTTGCTTGATTCAGATTTGACACTAAAAAATGAGGAAACCCATCTTTAATATAATACACATTGGAAGTATTGTGTTGGATGAATATTAAAGATTTTGAGGTACTATAACACAGTCAGTTAGAGTGTTGGTTCTTTACAAGACGTCATTTATTTGGTTACATCGAGCAAATGGCGGCTGTTGATTCAATTCTGGATCAGCTGTGATAGTCTGATGACCTTTAATAAGTCATCTTCACACATAATTCCAGTTGACCCAGCTGTAAATGGGTACGAATAATCCAGGAAAGGAGAAATGCCAAGAGATTTGGCCAAGAACCAGCTTGTAGAAAGGATCCTTAATTGTGAACCTAAATTGTTATTCTTGTAACATTCTTTCCTTCCTCTCTTTTGGACTATTGTGAACATATTTTTTAACCTTAAATTACAACTGACTGCATCTTTGAGTAATTTTGAATGATGCTAGTATTAGCAAACACCTTATTGAAGAGCTTGGATTAGTAACTGAGCCAATAGCTTACTATATTTGATATTGGAGCTATTGACTGTCAGATATTTCAATTTGGCCTTACTTACAACTTGATCAATCTGAAAAGCAATGTATTAAATATTATGTTATCTATTTTCAGTATAATTCAGTTGATTTCCGATCAGTGACAGCTGAACAAGCCTCAGCTGAATTAAGTCGACCGTGTTCAGTGATGAGACTGTTAGTTCATTTCAATCTAATAAGTAAGTAGCTAAGACAAATCAAAAATGTCTGTTTTCATGGTCAAAGCAGATGCCATTCTGCACAAGAAAAGTGTATAACATGCCATTACACAGTTATGACTGAGAATGTTAATACATTTGTGATATCTGCATTGGAGAAAATAATGTTCTCGAAGTGAACACTGTGAACTTCCAAACTATAATAGTAGAATTGTAGAGGAAGTAAACTCTTAGGTCTTAAAATGGATATGGGTGATTGTAGTTGAGCTCAGTCTACTATAAAATCTCATACTATGAAACTTAAAATATTTCATTGACAATAGGGGGGCGCTCGATTGGTGAGCTCTGCACGTTCAAGATTAATGGAATGAACAGAACGTTCAGTGAAATTAGTAGGAATAGAGTTCAGAACGAGTTCAACGTGTGCCGAAAGAAAAGAAGGTGCAGACAGAATTCCAAATGGAGAAGGATACAGATGAGAAAATGTGACATGTCCGCTTTCATACTGTTCGACTGGGGCAGAACTGGAACAGACAGAACCTGTTCAGAACTCACCAATCAAACACCACCTAGGAATCTGTTCATCATAACTTTTGATTTGATTTCAGAATATAACAAGATATTAAATGTACCAGGTGATAGTTTCTATATCAGAGCTAATTTTGAAAGATTAGCAGACGTAGAAACAGAGTTATCTTTCCATAAAGATGATATATTGTTAGTAGAGAATACATTATATCAAGGTAATACTGGATTATGGTTTGCCTGGTTAGTGGATAATGAATCTAAAAAATTACGTGGTGGAACTATTCCTAGTAGAATCAGGTTCGTATCCATAGTAACATTTCTTTCATGGATTTGATTTTTCAGCCAACATTTCACAATGTCAAGCTTACACAAACTTTTTGTACTTATACCTTGACTACAATACTACCTATTCTTATATCATCAAATGCAGCTATGTGATTGGATTGTATGCATGCAAATACAGCCTATCAGAGCCCTCATTATGGTTTTTGTGATAAAAGACTTTCTGTTGAGGTCTGAGATTGGCTGTATTTGCTAGCGTACAATCAAATCACTTCATTTACAAAAGGTGGCTATTGCAGTCAAGGTATAAGACAAAGTTTGAAGAGTTTGAATGGTATTGATTAATAAGGAAGAGAATAAGAATTATATTACAGAAGCAAATTAGAACACACAAAATATATAATAAATTTGAGTAAAATCAAAGAAAATTAGGAATCCTAATATTTTTGTCCCCACAAATATGAAAGTGTGGTGCCCTCTATGGTATTTTATCAAAGCATGGCACTTGATATCAGTTGACCTTAAACCCATTCTGGAGAGCTATGTTGGTATGGAAAGGAAAATGTATAAATTTTTCAAGTTTTAATTTTACAGACTAGAAGATGAAATGGTACTAAGAAGAAGTCTGTCTGAGAACTTCAGTTTACATGATTGTGAAGGTTCAAGACGTGGGTCTGGAACTGCCAGGAGAAGTTTCTTCCGCCGTCGTAGTCGACATCATCGCAATAATTCCAAGGATAGTCGAGAATTTAATTCATTCTCTGATGCTTCCTTAAATAGTGATTCCGTTCCTATACTCGATGGTAAGTGCTTTAGATTTTTCTGATTTTCAATTTTGTGAAGGTTGATGCTTGACAAATAAACAACAGTTATGGAGAGATGTCAATATTAATTCCCTTGTAAAACAACAAACAGTATATTGTTGATTTGTAAAAGTTGAAATGTATGTTGGTAATTTTGAGATTGATTTGTAGATGTTCATTACAAGTTCAATTGTTAATTTTTCAATATGTAGACTTGTATAAACTCGATGATGACGATCTACATCTATGTTTGTATCATCAACATCTCACACATCGTCTTTTCACAAAACATTCTCGGATATTTCAACCCGGTTCCCCCCTGTTAGTGATGCAGGTAAGAGGGGCTGACATGGAAAAAGCGTCTAGTCATTCGGATGGGACAATAAACCGAGGCCCTGTGTGCTACAGGCTGTGCACGTTAAAGATCCCTCGACAGTTGGAAATCGAAAAAGAGCAGACTAATGCCGCTGTCCTGGCAAAATTTCCCTCATTGCACCCTACATGGCATAAAACTCCATTCATTTCATTTTCACAAATCAATCTCAAAATTACCAATGTATTTTCTTTAAGTTACAATTCTACAAATGGACTTTCACAAATCGACATTATACATTTTGTCATTTTGCAAAGAAATTAATATTGACATCAAAACTACTCCATAAACAGTAACTATTTTGTATGTGAATGGAATATGATAATCAAAGTCTGATATGTTAACAATATTTCAACAACAGTCACATTCTGTGATATTTTTTTACCAAATTTTGGCAACTATGATATACATCTATGATATTTGTGCCTGCCCTGTAATTAATTGTGATACGAAAATGCATTATATATAAATGACTCTCTCGCTTTGTTAGAATTAATGATCATGATTTTATTAGAGACCTCAATAGCATCAGATTTTTCCTTTGTTATTAAATTATGTTTTAATATTTACTCTACAGATTCCATATTTGGATATACCAAAATAGAAAAACAAGAATGTAAGTAAATCAAAGTCTATTTCTTTTCCCTTTTATTATTTTGCATCATTATTTGCATTTATCACACAACAGTACAGTTCCCTTATTCATAACACAGGTTCAAAATAACAACATTAACTTGTAGCACAGGTTAATAATTGTGCTAATTATGTACATGTAGGCCATATATTCAGGCAAAAAAAACATGGCATCCTTTAAAGTTGACAAATTCGAAGTGTCACAAAAATTGTCCCAATGATATAATTTTGATTAAAGTATTCAATTTATTTATAAGATAAATTTGCTCACTCAGATCTTATTTGTTACACTCAAGGACATTTTGCAGAAGGTGCAAAAAGGTGAATCTCAAAATAAAGGCCCTCTATAGAAACGATGCGAAAATATGCGTTTATTGATAGTTGTTTGATAATAGAATTTTCCACTGGTTCTTATGTCATATGAAGTTTATGAAATTTGTCACCATGGCTCGCAAAATATTACATCATGGAACTCATTTGATATGACTTAAGCACTCATTAAAGATATTGCTTTTTCTTAGTTCCAAATGAATAGATTGATATTTTAAATTCATTTTCATACATTTTTTCTATTTTCAGCTAATATGATTCGCCCTGTTGTAGTATTAGCACCATTAAGTGATGCTGTTATAAATAAATTGATAGCTGAATCACCTGATAAATATTGTCAATGTCAAACAGGTAATAATAGAATATTCATTATCATAATTACTCCATCTGTTCACATTATAATATAAATGCTTCCTGATTTTCAACAGATTTTCTTCATATTTTCAAGTAGCGATGAAATTCTGTCGCATTAAAGGGACATGTTCGTCATCCGTTGAACCTATCGTATCTCAGAAACAGGAACTTTTTAGTTAAGCCAATCAGTAACAGTGTTCGCAACTCACTGTTGAAATTGGAGCCCTCAAATCCAAGTGAGTCCAGAATTATCCACTTTCGAAAGTTAAAATGGTGACTCATTCTTTCTTGATACTTTTCATTATATAGAAAAGACATCTGAAGAAATAGGAAAAGAAATTACTAGTTTGAGATATTTTTGAAGGAATTTTGGGATTTTCGTACAGAGTTTTCCCTGTTTTGGGAATAATCAAGATGCGGTAGCTCCTAAGCGAGTGTAGTTTATTGTGTTTCGAAATCAAACAATATTAACTGCTTAAAAGATTTAACATAAGTATTCATTATTCATATCTTGGTATATGGTATATCATAATTAAATATATACCATGAAATATTCTTGACTTTCCATTATGATTATTTGAATTGTTGTTTCAGTGTTAATGTCATCATCAGCTATGTCTATGGAACAGAATTTATCTCGTGGACATTATATAGATTATTGGAAACAAGATGATCAATATGAATGTATCCGAGTGGCTGATATTAAAGATATCTGTGATAAGGTCAGTGTTATTGTGATGTTCTGGAAATATTACATCACAAATACAAAATCCAACACATATAAGTTTATAGTGATTTTAAGAGGTTTTCTAAATATTTTATGTGTATACTGATAGCATCAGTTTACATCATTTCATGTTTCAATCAGATGTCTAAGATTCCTGCAATTCCAATAAAATTAAGTGTCAGATGGCGTCACTAATCCTGAAGGGCCTTATGTGATACAAGCATATTTGGTGATTAGTGACTTCATCAAACACTTATTTTTATGTGGAATTGCAGGATCCACAGACGTCTGATTGAAAATTGGAATGGTGCAAATTGATGTTATCAGTGCCCTTGATACACATAAAATTTTTTAGAAAACCTCTTTAAAATCCCTTTGATGATGCTTCATCATGATGCCTGAAATTTGGAAGTATGATTTTGATAGAGGATGATCTTTGTTTTGGATTTTAGTGGGCTTGTAGGCTTAAAGTAATTGCTCTTGTTACATACTATTTTTGTATACTATCCAATCACAATTTTGTGTCATTGCTGTTCCCACCTTTTCTTTCCTTGCCATTGATGCTGGTTAGTGGATTTGAAATTGTCATATTCAGAAAAAAAACTCTGAAACAATGTGAGCATATGAATTTTAGTAAAAAAGTTGAACTGTGATATTTTTCCTTAAGTGGCATTTAGTAATTGAGGTATGGATACATGAACACGCGAAACGTCGCAAGTTATTTATTAAAGTAATTGTTATCCCTAAAATTGTGTTCATATATTGATATATTTTTGCATATTACTTTCGAAGCTTAGATATATTGTCTATAATGTTCATAATTCCTTACTTATTTATTGTTTATATTTAGAAAATGCATTGTTTATTAAATGTTGGTGTTGAAGCTATAGAAAGATTACAAAGATTAAAGATATATCCTATTGTTGTATTTGTACATCATAAAAGTCCAAAACAAATAAGGTGAATTGACTTATTATATATTCTTATTTAGAAGTTGTAAAGGAGTGCTGCTACAAAATTTTAATGACACTCAGTTGTAATAAATTTGCCCTGGAAGTTGAGATAGCGCTTGCAGATTTTTATGCCCTCTGATTCTGACTTGCTTGTAATGCTAAATCATTTGGATTTCAAAAAAAAAGTTTGTGACAAATGAGATGGACTATAACTTTGTCATTTTTTTTTTTGTTTTAAAAAGTTGCGAAAATTTAAAGAAGAATTCCCTTTTCTCTCAAGATTTGACTAACTTGCTCTTTATTTGACCTTTATACAGTAGTGGCTACAAAAGACTTAGGAAATGAGGTCCAAAATTGATCTCGTTAACCCTAAAATCTGATGCACTTTTTCTGCTTCTAACATTTTCATATTTATTCTGATTTTAGAGAGGTTCGTGATGTCCAATTTTTACCAGAAAAAATGACCACCAAATTAGCCAAAGAATTATATGATCAAAATCAGAAATTAGAACAGGAAAACCAACATACCTTTTCATGTATGTATTTTGATTATTTTGTATTGATGCATCTTATCTTTACAGATGTATTTACACCAAAACAAATTTCTGATAAAAGGCATGCAATAGCCCTGTCAACTATTTTCAATTGTACGGAAACCAAAAATGTACTGGATAGCCGGAAAACACAAGAAAAAGTCCCATAAATTTGAAAGTTCTATAACAGTCTTACTCAAACTGCTGAATATCCGACCATATTGCCTTCCCAATGCATGTTTCTAATAAAATCTATGGGCTTGGTGCATTTCACTTATATTACCTTCATGGTGATGTTACAACGGTAATTATTGGTGAAAATATTTGGTATGAGTTATTGCCCTTGTTCTTAAAATGCTTGTAAATACTCTTGAAGGTGCAATTCTTGACGGATTTTGATGAAACTGGGTGTGAGTGTTTATTATCACCCAAGGATGAACACTATTGAAAATCAAAAAATAATTAGTATGAGTTATTGCCCTTGTTCTTGAACAATCGTTCAATTTTAGTTTGTAAACACTAGAATGTTCAATTATTGACAGATTTTGACGAAACTTGTTGCAACTAAATACTACCATAGCTGATGTTCTTACGCTCTAATACCGGCAAGCGGGTCATGTACGTCTTGTCACATGATAAACCAGCGTTTATTTCCCCATAACGATAAGATTCACATTCATTCCTTATATTTACATTGGTTTATCTTTTCTGATAAAATACGCTAAAATGTTCTATTTTTTAATTGTAAAAATACCCGAAACCGTTGTTGCATAATTCACCGATATCTGTCAATCAAGTTCACCGACCCACCCCTAACAATATAGATCTATAAATAGACAGTCTTATTTGGATGATAGAATTATCAAATATTTAATATTCCATTGAAATATTAACAACAATTGTAAATTTAAATAAATTGTAAAATTAGATTAGACTCTAGGTAAAAACTTGGGTCAATCCTTGTTTTTGTTTTCGATGTATTCATATGCCTTATTGTCATGTGACAAACTACAGTTATTGGAAAATAAACGCCGGTTTGGCTAACTTGTTTATTGAAGGGAGTGATAGTAGAAATGTAAATATTTTGTTTTATTTGTAGGTGTTATACAAGGTGGTAACTTGGCTCATATGTGTATGTCTATTAAATCAGTGATATCTAATGAACAGAAGAAAACTATCTGGCTTACTGCTGGCTCTATTTAGATGCTGGCTCTATTTAGATACCCTTTACATGGATTGGCTAGTGTTAATTGTTTAATTCAGAATATATGTCAAGAACACTTATCAAATTTCAGATTTGTAATAATTAAGTTGTGAAGACATTGCCTATTTTGTGTCAAATATGCTTTGTGTTGTGTTTTTCTGCGTCGTTTGATTTAGGCAGGAAAATGCTCTTGTGGTAGAGTCAAAGATTTTGATTCAAATACATTTAAGGTTGTGTATTAAACTATGTTCTTGATTAACAGATATCACAGCAGAATACAGCATGAACATGAGAACATGTTCTTGTGACTTTCAATGTCTTTTGGGACAAAATGCAAACATCATGGATACAAAATGGTGGTAATTGTATACAACCAACCAATCAAATGCACTGCTTAGTACTGTAGTTTATTATGCTTAAGCCACCAAGAACATACAACCTATTTATATAAGAACTTGATATATTTATTTAATGAAAGGGATTGAAAAGAGGTTTTCTAAATTGTTGAAGTGTTTTATGATGTCAACCCCACAAAATTTGCTTGTATCACATAAGACATTTGTGGGGGGTGACGTCATAAAACACTTACTTTTATTAGAATTGCTAGAACCACAGACGTCTGATTGAAAATTGGAATGGTACTAATTGATGCTATCATTGTCCCCGATACACATACAAAATTTACAAAACCTCTTTACAATCCCTTTAAGTTATCAATGATTCACAAAAGCTTACAGACACTGAATTTGGTTAGTGAAATAGTTCATTTGTGCCTTCTGTCTGCATTATATATTATCTGCCTTTTATATTAGTATTTTATAACTTGTCTTTCAATGTTTTGATGTATTTATATGAACACTGTTGGCTTATGGTGACAAAATGTATAGACGTATGTATAATACAGAACTTTGCTCCTCTAACTAACTTAATATTAGGATTGAAATTTGTAAGTTTAAAAGTTTACACCAGAGTAATTGTCACAAATTTCTATTATAATGCCAATCTAAAGATAGTCTAAATATTTTAGTTTTAATAGAAATTTAAAATGAAAAACCCTTTGAGCTTGTAGATGATTTGAAATATAAAAGGAAGAGAAATTGCCTGCAAATGGAAGAGGGTTCTTGATGAAACTTATATTGAAATATTACAGGTATATTCAGATGTGGAAAAAAAAATTTGTGACTTGTGGTGGGAATAACAAGTAGTTCACAAAGCTAGGTGATTCTTAAATGTTGTAATATTGGGATGAATGTTTGGTTATGGTCATTTTAATTTGATGTTTACTCATTTGTATGAAACTGGAATAGGCTAAAGGCCTATTTATGGATACTTGATTTGCTAACTTTAAAGTACATTAGTTAAAGGGATTGTAAAGAGGTTTTCTAAAAAAATTATGTGTTTTGGGGACACTTATAGTATCAATTTGCACCACTCAAATTTTCAATCAGTCATCTGTGGTTCCTGTTATTTCACTTGAACTAGGTGTTTGATGACATCACTTACGAGGAAGGTCCTTGTGAGATAATCAAAAAATGGTTTGAAAATTAGAATGGTACAAAGTGATGCTAGCAGTGTCCCTGATATACGTAAAATTGTTAGAAAACCTCTTTACAATCCCTTTAATACAGTTTCAGTTATGAAAACTGGTTGCATTGGCCTGTGAAGAAAACATTTTTTGTGGAATTTTTAATGTTGGAACACAATGACAATCATTGAATTGTGAAAAAGCTTAAAATGTTGGGAGCTTATTCAAGGGCATGTTTATGTTATTTTTAGATCATCACTGCTCATTATTATTACTATTAGTCAATCAGTATTTTATTAACATACAATGCAACATTTTTATTCATCCACACTTCTTCATGTTATTATTGTGATAAATTATTTCTTCTTTCTTTCATTTCTTATACTGTACATTACTAGGTTGATATCTGAATCAAACAAGCTTGATATCTGAGTCAAATATTGCTAGTTTGATATCTGAGTCAAACATTACTAGTACTAGCTTGATATCTGAACCATTACAAATATGATATCTGAATCAAACATTACTAGTTAGATATCTGAAATCAATCATTACAAATTAGATATCTGAATCAAACATTACAAGTTTGATATCTGAAATCAACCATTACAAATTAGATATCTGAGTCAAACATTACAAGTTTGATATCTGAAATTAACCATTACTAATTTGATATATCTGGATCAAACATTACAAGTTTGATATCTGTATCAATCATTACTAGTTTGACCTGAATCAATTGAAAGAATATAGTCCTAATTTTATTCTCAATTAAGATAGAGTTAAAGAGATATTAGGGCATGGAAACCTGAACCACATTTTGAAACATCATTCACATAAGTGATAATTGTATCAGTAGATCTTCTAGAACTTATTTTTCACTAATTGATATAGTAACTTTGGTATAGTTAATACCTATATATCATGTACATGTAAATATATTTTGTAAATGTAATTAAGAATAATGGACCAATTGCTTTGATTATATATTGCATGTGCCTTTAAAGGAATTCTTTCTCATAATCATGTTAAGAGGCAAAAAAAAAATAATTGTTTTTTTTTCTTAATGAAATTACATATTTTTTATAATCCCTATCTAATCTAAGGATGAGTTAATCAAAGGCCTTAATGCAGATTGTAGTACATGCTCTTTGTCTTTTAAAACAATTGTGAGAAAGAATTCCTTTTACAATATACATTCCAAGGAAGACCAAAGGATCATTCGTCCTGGACAGTAGTGCAAAATAATATCTTCTTTGGGCATGTCTTATGCAAAAATACCAGATTATTATTTCTGTTCAATATTTTTCAATGATATGATAGTATTTATGAAAAAAGAAACATAATGAGTAGCTTATTGTTATTTTATATAATCTATTTCATCTCATAGTAATCATTCATCTAATTATTTTATGCTACTTTTTATTTTAGAAACATGTCAGCTTTATTATTTATGTGTCATATTTTTCTGAGTACATGTCAGCTTTAAGTGTATTATGTTGCCTTCTTGAAGCTTCTAGATTTTTTGTTAGTAATTTTCTTGGACACCAGCATCTGTATGTTTAAGTATATTAATGTATATTTTTGTTTAGTTGTGTATGCTGAAGAGAATTTTTTTTATATTATTTTGTGTTTGATTTGACATTTTAAGTGGAGTGTCGATGAGGGAATCACCTCTCCAAAATCTTCTATTGCAAATGGTCTTGCAATATCTCTTGCATCTGCACAATGTCAAGCTATTACGAACTACATTTAATATCTTGACTGCAATAGTAACCTTCTTGTACCATGGAAGTTTGTAAATGGAGTAATTTGATTGGATTGTATGCAAGCAAATACAGCCAATCGTAGCCCCTGCTTTAAGGCGCAGCCACAATGCTGAGTTTTTATCCAAGACTCTCATTAGCTGCATTTGCTAGCGTACAATATAATCAAATGGCCGCATTCAAGGTAGTAGACAAGTGTGTAATAGCTTCAAATTGTGAAGATCTCTTGGAACTCAATTCAGCAACTCCATTGAAAGGGATTGTAAAGAGATTTTCTGTATGTGTATATGGGAAACTGACAGCACCAATTTCACCATTTCTCCTAGAGAATATACATTAATAGTAGCTTCTGGTACTAAGTTTCAGTGAAATTGTAAGAACCACAAGACGTCTGATTGAAAATTTTAATGGTGCAAATTGATGCTACCAGTGTCCCCAATACACATAAAAAACTTAGAAAACCTCTTTACAATCCCTTTAAGTTTTGACTTTAAACTGACATTGGACTGTTTTTTCTATGTCAATTATTATTGGATGGTTTATTCAGTTATGAAATCACTCATCTTTTGAATTGATCACCATTTTGGTAGTGATTTTGATCAAAATTTAGTGAAAATATTTCTGGATGGGATAACACCCTATCAGCTATCTTTAACTTATTCTATACATATAGATTTTGCAGTAGGCAGCTTTCATAGATTATTCATCAATACCAAAGAAATATTAATGGATCTTGTTGGCTGTTACCAGTCATATTTGGGTTGAGCCTCAATATTCAATATACATGTATATGATGATGATTTGTGTCTTAAAATATTGTGGTCCATTTCAAAGAGAATTGAATTATCAGTTAAAGGGACAGAAGTAGGTTGATTTGAGTCTGGAATATATGTAAATAGTCTTCAGAAATACTAGAAATGTACGAAAATCGCATAATTCCCTTAAAATTACTTCTAACTATGAATTATACTTACTATGTCTTTTAATATCTTTTCTATATATCACAGACTCTCTTAAAATGAAGAGTCGTCATTTTAACATTCAAACGCAGATAATTCTAGACATACATGGATTTGAAAGCTCAAATTTTGATGGTGACCTGGGGACACTATTACTGTTTTAACTAAAAAATTCCTGTGTCTGAGACTAAAGTATGATTAGTCCAAAAAAAAATGGGGCATCTGTCCCTTTAAGGACAAATACCCAACTATTGCAACTCTTTTGAAAGGACCTTGGCCAATGAAATATATATATATAAAAATCCAGATTTTAAGAAATATAGTAATCTGATTGGATATTAAAATGAATTGAAAAATCCATTTTAATGATTGACCAATCAGATGACTGGAACACTAGAATTATCTTAAGATTTTAAGAATAAGGCCCCAGTTCAATATAAGATCTTATTATAGAATGATTAAGCCATTTTAACAGTAAATCTATATGTATAGAATAAATCAGTAAATATTTCATAATTAATATTCTTATTATGCTGTTATGTGATCTTTTATGAAATGAAAGTAAAACTTGTCTATTGTATTCATGTAGTTTTTATTTTTATCACTTTGAAATTTTCACTACTAATTGACCCTAATAATCCCTATTAGTAGTGTTCATTATGGACCTAGTATGTTATACCTCCTTGACCTAGTGCCTTTTGCCTGAGGAGAGCATCATCTCCAAGCAACAAGGCTGAAATTTTTGAAGATTGCTCTCAAATAAAAAAAAAAAGAATCGAAATAAAATTTATCGTGTTTTAAACTCTGCTGCTGTTTTTGTCTTATACCTTGACAGCAATAGCCACCTTTGTTGTATCACAGAATGCAGCAATTTGATTGGATCATACGTTAGCCAATACAGTGAATCAGATCTCTCAACAGAACAAATTTAGACATATTATGGCTTATTGTTTACAGGCTTTCTGTCAAGGGCTCTGATTGACTGTTTTTGCTTACATATCATCCAATCAAATCACTGCATTTACAAACGTCTGTGATACAAGATACTGCTATTGAGGTCAAGTTATAAAATGCAGTTTGTAATAGTTTGAAATTGTGTAGGCCATAGATGCTGTCTTAGTAGTTGTTTAACAAGTACTTGATCTATATGTCAAGTTTTAGAGTTGCATTTTTGACTCCAGTCTTGGTTTTGTATTGGGCTATGGTGGATAGTGAATTTTTCATTGCTGAATTTGAAATAATTTCAAATTTGGTAATCTAGATACATCAATCTATTTGTACAGTTACAAATGTTTATTGCATGTGATGCAACAACCAAAAAAAACTCAAAAGAAAAGCGTTGAAAGGTCATGGACATTTTGCCTGAAGGTCAAATTCACAGTAAATATTATCCGACATGACTAATTCAACTAAGCAACTTTTAAAACAAATGTGTTTATTCTACTTTGGAATAAAACAATGTCTGCTAAAAGATTAACATATAGGCTAAAATAGGCCTATAAAGCCAAAAACAACTTTTACAAACCAATGGACTATTACTATAATTGGAGTTCTGTTAATTTAAATTGTAGAAATGTATCAGTTACGTCCCTTGAACTTTTGAAATTGGAGATTATTATTTTCATCAGTTACATCCCTTGAACTTTTTCAATTCCTCGTATAGACGATATTTCTTACTTATAACGACATTCTTTATATATGCGGGTTCAATATTTAGATTTACAAACCACTTCTACTTTTTAGAAAAACCATTATAACGAAACGTGGCAATTGTAAAATTGATGCTGGAAATTGTACCCCGCCATTTGTCCACATTCGTTAGTAACGTTACATAACAATTATTGTGGTAGGCTACCTCCTTTTATATTGGAGAAATTTCTTTTTATCAGTTACGTCCCTTGAACTTTTTAAATCTTTCGTGAAGTCGTTATTTCTTCTATTCCTATTTGTAGTGTATGTTGAACAGCTATAACTGGTGTTGCGCCAGGCATGGTATCCTTACTCTTCTAGTCACCTGATACCACTTTTCATTCTGAAATAGTATTTCACTTACGGTTGATATACTTACTCATATAACAATTATTGTGGTAGGTTACCTCCCTTAAATTTGGAGAAATATATTTTCATCAGTTACGTCCCTTGAACATTTTAAATCCGGCAAGTCACTATATCCATTAATACCCCTTTTTCTCATAAATACAAAAAATATCTTGATGGATTCCAGTTCATTGTCAATTTTGAAAGTCTTGATTTGGTCATTAGGGCCTATGCTATGGTTAAGAAAAACAAATCATTTGGCTTTCTGTATTTAATTCTGTCGGAATGTATGCCCTAATTGATATCATATGCTCTCTGTTGATTTCTACTAACTTTTCTTTTAGTTCGGGTTCGTCTTTCTCTCCTCGTCGCAAGCCCAAACCACCAGCATTAGGCTGACTTCTGCGCCAGTTTGCATCCATTTGATGAAATACAGTACCATAATTTTCGCATGGGTATTAATCATGGCACCATTACCGACTGAAAGTAGCTGCGGGGGGGCGCTTCCCCAATTGTAAGGCGGATAGGGATGAAAAAAAATAAATATTTACATTATGACTGATTTGAACTTACTTAAAACGACATTCTACATATCCGATCTCAATATTTAAGTTTACAAACAACTCATATGTACTTACTAGAAAAAAAAAATATTTGACTAGTTCTAGTCTAGTTCTGTTAGTAAGGTTATAACAGTAATTTTGGTTAGTTCCCTCCCTTTAAATTGGAGAAGAAATGTATTTTCATCAGTTACGTCCCTTGAACTTTTTAAATTCGTCAAGTCGCTATTTCTTATATTCCTATTTGTACTATGTAGTGTATGTTGAGTGGCTATGACTGGTGTGGCGCCAGACAGGGTATCCTTACTTAGAAACCTGATATCACTTTTCATTTTGAAATACTTACTCACTTATGGTTGATATACTTCCTCGTGAAAATATCATCAGGCTGCTGCTAGGCCTACCAATCAATGTTTCGTCAAAATATTGTTCCGGATTTCGGGTCGTTAGTGCTTGGTTTATTTATTTCAATAAATTTTTCATCCGCATCTGTTTCGCAGAAATGTCTTTTTCTCATAAATACAAAATTTTCATTTATCTTGAAGAATTTCAGTTCATTATCAATAGTGAAAGCCTCGATTTGGTCATTATGCCATAGTTTAAAAATAAATTTCTGTATTTAATTCTATCAGAAAATTGGCCTATGCCCTTACTGATGTCCACTTTGTTGATTTCTACTAACTTTACATTTAGTCTAGTTCATGTTCGTCTTTCTCCTCCTCGCGAGCCCAGCCTACCAGCATTGGCTGACTTCTGCACCCATTTGATGAAATACAGTACCATAATTCGAGTCCCACTGAAAACTCTCATATGGATATCGCATAGGCCTTTATAAAGGGATATAATGGTTTATTTTCAACGTGCAAATCACTGCATTTACAAACTTCTGTGATAGCCTACAAGAATGGAGGGGAGGCTATTGCGGTCACGGTATAAAAAACACAGTTTGTAATACAGTGTAGTTTGAAATTGTAGTTTTTTATTGGTGATTTTTTTTTTTCTGATGAAAACCGGACAATTATGTTTTGGGTTGCCCCCTCGAAAATGCCGGTCATTTCCGATAGGTGTCAGCAAAGGTTAAGCAGGGGTCAGAATTCAAAATAAAATATATTTGGTCGATATGCACATCAAATTACTGGTCTAGTCAGGATTCTACAATTGCATAGTTTGTTTCACTTTCTTTTTTAAATGAGGGCGCTAGGGTAAAAAGCGTTGAAAGGTCAAGGACCTTTTGTCTGACGATCAAATGCACTAACACACTTAATATTATCCGATTTAAAAGATTGTAGAGTCTAATAATATGTTTTCTGACATGTCAATTCAACTGAGAAAATTATAAAAGCAAAGGTGGTTCCCATAACCTTGGAGTTCTAAAATGGCTGCTAAATCCACAAAGTATCGTAAAATGTCTGTCTAAATTTCGTGTTGCCAATGATTGTCAAGAATAAATATTAAGTTATCAATATTTAGATTCTCCTAGTTTATGTATATGTGTAGTATCTCAAACTCACCAGAAATTCACCAGAAACATTCATATATTGCTAATGTGAACTGTGCAATGGCCATTTTTGTTGACTTCAAAACTCCATCACCCTATTTTGCTACTTATAGACTTAGATGAATATTAAAATAATATTCTACTAGGTGTGGTATCTCTGAATTTCTGCTTTTTATCTGAACATTCCACTGGGTTACGGCTTTAAAAAATTGTTTAGTTGAATTATCCATGCCAGAAAGCATATTATTAGACCCTATAATCGGATGACATTGACTGTGTTGAGTTGATGAATTTGACTTTCAGGCAAAGGTTGATGACCTTTCAACGTTTTTGACAACAGCACCCCACATTTTAGGTAGAAAGTGTAATAAACTAGACATTTTTGGAATCCCCATAACTATAAGAGGTATTTGATGTGCATATCTACATGATTAGTATTATGGTATTATATATTTCTGACCCCTGTTTAATCTTGGTTGACCCCTATCAGAAATGCCTAACATTTTCGCGGGAGAAGCCCATGTCAAAATCATTCGATATTCATTAGGAAACTCAGTAACACTTGTTCCAAGAATCAGGCGTAGAAAAGTTGGAAACCATTCTGCCATTCATTTCATTCCATTTTACCACATGTCAAGATTCTTCTGATAAATCTTCTTATAACATTTTTCTTTTTCTTTTGTTTACCTGAAGAACACCAGATTTGTTAATCCCTTGTATTTCATTAGGAATAAAATTACCAATTGAATTAATTTATAGACTGAGATAGAAGATTCCTGGAGGACAAACAAGGGTCTTATTCTTGAAAACTTAACTCACAATGAATTTAGTATTCCAATCATCTGATTGACTGCAATAAACACTTATTAAGATTAAGTATTAAAATTTTAGAAACAGGCCAAGTAAGAATAGTTATAATGGATACATTGATAAACCCTACCTCTAGGTACTGTTACAGTACCAGTAACAAATGTTTCTTTTACATAATATTTCTTCTTATCTGTCTTTTTATCACAATGGTAACCATAAATAAATCCTTCTCCAGAAACACCAAGAATTTCATAAATAGTCAATACTCCAGCATTATCTTCTTTCATTTTTACTCCAAACTTTTCTTGCATCTTATTTACCTCCTTATTCTGCTTTTTTATTTCTTTCTCGTTATTTTCTTTTATATTTATTTCTTGTTTTTCATTTTCTTTAACCTCCGCTTTCTGTGTTTCCTTCCTTTCCATATTTTCCTTCCTTTCCATATTTTCTTGGATTTCAATTGCCTCCTTATTCAGTTTTTTACTTAATACTTTATCTTTTCTTATTCTTAACTTTTTATAAAACATCTGTTCTTTCTCTTCGCTATCCAATATGATTAATCTGCATTGCCTCATTAATGTGCCATCTGAATTTTAAAACAAATTTGTCATTTAGTCAGTACTAATTGTCTGAATAAAAAAAAACAGTCAGTACTAATTGTCTGAATAAAAAAAAAACAGTCAGTACTAATTGTCTGAATAAAACAAACAGTCAGTACTAATTGTCTGAATAAAAAACAGTCAGTACTAATTGTCTGAATAAAAACAGCCAGTACTAATTTTATGAATATACCAATTGTCTAAAAATATAAAAACCATTACTGTTTGAACATATAAAAACCAGTACCAAATGCCTGAAAATATAACAACCAGTACCAACTGTTTGAGCATATAACAACCAGTGCCAACACTGCTTTAACATATAACAACCAGTACCAAGTGTCTGAAAATAGAACAACCAATACCAACAGTATGAATATACCAACTGAAAATATAACAACCAGTACCAACTTTATGAATATATAACTGCCAGTACCAACTGTCTGAATGCAAAAAAGCGAGTATATATTAGCGAAATAACTGAGGTTGCCCGAATTTCTAACCTAGTTATGAGAGTCATACCTGAAAAACTTGCCCCCCTTTGCCCCCGCCACTGGCAACTGTCAGAAAACAGAATAGTCAAATCCAACTGTATGAAAACAATAACCTCTACCATCAGCTGACAGAAACGGAATAGCCAGTACCAACTGTGTGAATACATAACAGATACCAGAAAACAGAACAACCAATTCCAGCTTCCAGTAAACAGCACAACCAATACCAGCTGCCAGAAAACAGCACACCCAATACCAGCTTCCAGTAAACAGCACAACCAATACCAGCTGCCAGAAAACAGCACACCCAATACCAGCTTCCAGTAAACAGCACAACCAGTACCAACTGCCAAAAAACCCACGCAACCAGTACCAGAAAACAGCACAATAAGTACTTACTGCCAGAGAATAGAGCTGTCTGGTAAATCAAGTTACATTTTATTTTGAGAAAAACTTTGTATTTTGGGATAAGAATTGGTTTTATAGAGAAGTATTGCATTTTTTTATTATCATTTCTTGGTGACAGTGGCCACAATATCACTACATGTTTAATAAACTTATTACCTTCAGAAGTCACTGAAGTCTGCCATTGTCCTTCAATGAAGATTACAGGACGTTCTTCCAAATTCAGATTAGCTGAAAGAATAAATAGATTTAAAGATGAAGAAAACCAAACGAGGCAATTGTATGGAAGCTCAATATCTTTTGGAAATTTTGAATTTTTTTTACTTTTTTCAAAATTATTTTTCAAAATTTTTCAAAATTATTTTGTAAAATTTTTCAAAAATTATTTTTTAAAATTTTTCAAAATTATTTTTTTAAATTTTCAAGGTTATTTTCTTAAATTTTTCAAAATTACTTTTACAAATTCAAAAATATTTTCACAAATTCAAAATGCAAAATTTCAAAAAGATGACGTATATGAGCTTACAAAGGCTACAAAATTGTCTTTAAATGAGGTAAGCATTTCCAATGTTTTTTTATTATTATTAAATTGTCCAAAGTTAATTCACACAAAAATCAAATTTTAATGTAACGTTATGTATTTTGTAATACAAGAAAACTAACAGACGTTATAATAATGTGTAACTGACTTACCGATATCTTTCATGGTGTGTTTAGATTTATTGAACAGACCACCATTCCTTTTGTTTCTTTCATATACTAGACTTTTTGATGGTATTGTAAGAAAGTCTACATGTTTATTCAAAATAAAACATTTAATTGTATCCACCACTTTTTGATCTGAGTAACCGTCAAATTTATTTTCTAATAAAACCGTAGATATCTGTTGTATATCTTCGTGACCTGAAAGGTATACACAGACATGCCCCATTAAATTGCTATGCTATGCTATGTCCTAAACCTACCATCATCATATGTTGTTTTTCCTAGGCCGTTAAAATGACCTCAATATAAGCATAATGACATGAGACATTGATAGCTTTCGGGAGGATTTGAAGTCTAGAATTGAGTGTTATGAGATTTTTTGTGTATTGTCATAGAGGCATTCTTTTTATCGGTATAGGAAAGATAGCTTGCAAGGCAAGGTAATATACACCTTTGATTTTGAATAAAAATATTTAGCAGTGCAGTAATAATCACCAGTATGAAATATTAAACTTTCAGTCATACACTTCTTTTGAACTTTTTGAGACGATACTGAATAATATTAAATACTAAATATTTTTCGATTTTTCTGCTTTTCAATAGGGCTCTTCCTGGTGAATACAAACACTCACATCAAGTTTCATCTAAATCTGTCAAGAATTTTGTCCTCCCATACTTGTTTAGGAGCTAAAAATTGAATGCGTTTTCAAAAACACGGGCAATAACTCAAACTAAATATTTTTCAATAGTGTTCATCGTACCAAGTTTCGTCGAAATCAGCCAAGAATTGTGCTTTCTAGAGAGTTTAAGAGCAATTGTGGAGGGACGGGCGGAAACGTTTTTTCGATAATATCGCCCAACTCTGCCTTGAACCAATAATATCAAAACTATAATATTTTGATTTCACTTACTCAATGAGCACTTGAAAAATTGAAGAAAAACAACTGGAAATCCAGTAAAGAAACGCTTACCAGCCGCATCTGTTTCGCGGAAATAGCTATTAATAGTCCTTTTTCTTGCAAATACAAAATTTTCATTGATTTTGATGAACTCCATTTCATTGTTGATTATAAAAGCCTTAATTTGGTCATTAGGGTTAAAATTTTTCGGCTTTCTATATCTAATTCTATCTGAATATGGATTAATCATGGCACAACGTGGCTGAAAAGCGCCACAGTAATAGTTTTGATGATATCCATTGTCATCATCTGTAAAAATAAAAAGTTACATTTAAACTTGCTTAAAACGACATTCTTTATAATTGTGCGGATTTATTATTTAGGTTTACAAATCACTTCTACTTCTTTAAGAAACGTTGTGTTCGAAAAGAACCATTATTTGGCGATTGTAAAATTGATATTAGAAATTGAACCCCGCCATAGCTGATTATTATGGAAGGGCATCAGTGTCAAAAGTCGATGCTAAATACTAAGTAGAAATGTTATGTAGATAATACAGATATTTTGTGTTATAAGTTAAAAGTTGCTCGTAAAAATACCAATAATGCGTAAAAAATCGGGTTTCGTTTTGCGGTTCGGATCGTTAGTAGGCTACACGTGAGAAAACTCTCAATACACTTAAATATTACCATTGTCAGATTGGAGCAGAAGATCACAGTAACGGAGGGTGGGGGTGAAAGGGGGGGGGGGGGGGAGGCTATTTGTAGTCTATCCCCAGGACGATCTGCCAAAGAAAAGCAAGTTCAAAGTTTTCTCAGTAGAGCGTTCGATGACCGTGAATTTCTTTGCTGTCATCATTTGAATCAAAGCGGCAAAGACATTTGTAGGCTAGTTTTGAACGTTCGTATTTGATTTTTCTAGGGCATGGTTTAGCGATATTATTAGCCATAATAGGTATACTTTCGAGAGGTGTAAATCTATGCATTTCATGGTGCTCTAGAATGGTTTTTGTTTTTTTTTAAATTTCAAAGCCTTTGATCAGCTCTGTATTCGAAAATAGACTTGTCAGAGTCGATAATGCCAGGAAATATTTTGTGATTCAGTCAAGTGACAAACATGTAAACAAGTACATGTAAACTATTTCTGCAGTCAGTTTGAGAATACATTTTAGCGCTTTTAGAAGATAATGAGCTCGAGATTTGCACTTTCGTTCCGTTTTTATTATTAAAGAGACAGATGCGCCATTTTGAGGGGTTGATTTAAGTCTTTAAAATATGTATATATAGTTTTCAGAAATACTAGAAAATCGCATAATTCCTTCAAAGATATCTCAACCTAGAAATTTTACTCCCTTTAAAAGTCATTTCAGTTAGAGTCTCAAGACGGACCTGTTGAACATCTGTCAAAATATACTTTTGACCTAACATGATGTCTCCGGTTTTAATCAATCAAATTCCTTCGCTCTCTCACAAAATCCCAGCGCTTGAATACGGCAGAGAGTAGGGATCAGCTTCAGGTTAGGTCAAAAGGTCACGTGTCACAATCGCAAAGGCAGGTCCGGCTTTGACACCTCCCCTCCTCTCGAATTTCTTTTCAATACAAGAAAAGTGACCTTTGTGCTACCTTGACCATTGTGAAGATGCAGATATCCATGCTGTATTGTAGGACTTAAATTTAATTTGAATTTAAAAATCAAAAAGGTTTCAGGTACTGGCAAGGGTTTCCATTGATTGACTATTCTGATGAAGTTCTGAATGGTAAACGTGTATGACTTCACTTTTTTTCTTTTATGTCCCAGAGTTTGGAAGTGCTCTGAAAATGTATTGAACGTTATTCTGTGCTGCAGTTACTGCCAATAATATCAAACATTTTCGAAATTCTTTCAAACGCCAGTAAATATGATCTTTGACGTATTTGATCGACAATGTAATGAATGTTAATAGCCCCGTCACATCGGACTGCGGCCAGTTGCAATCTAAAGGCGACTGGAAAGTACTAGATCGTGGTCAAACGTGGGGAAAACTAGGGAAAAGGTCCCTAAACTTAAAAACGGTTGATCTCATACCGCGAGTTTTTGCCACGCGTGTACTGCGCTTTTATGCCGTTGAAGGATATGTTACTACAACGCTTGTCTTATGATCTTCTCGATCCTATGGCGTTCTCAGCGAGTAACAGAATTTTTTTGTCCAAAATAAACGTCCAGGCTCAGAGAATTGTGGCGACAATATTGCACATTGTCCGAAGTGTCCAGCACGCTTATACCACACTTATGACGACCTTAATACGCTCTGAAAGAATATTCCACCTTCCCGGTGTGACGAGGTCTTTACATACTACTCATACTTACTTGAAAAATGTTGTGTTCTAGAAGAACCATCATTACAGTTTTGGAAATTGTATAATTGATGCTCCGCCATAGTTGAATATTACTATAATTCGAGTTATGTTAGTAACGTTATTATGACGTCATAGTAAGAGATATGAATTTCAGATAGATTTAATCCCAATCAAAGTCCAAGATTGTTTTCTATTGGAAAATAT